GAGACCAATATCGTGGCCTCTGCTGCCAGTTATGGTCTTCCGGCCGGACGGTTAGTCTTTTCAAATGTTGCCGCAAAGGAGGAGCACGTGAGGAGAGGGCAACTCGTGGACGTGTGCTTAGACACGCCTCTGTGCAATGGACACACCACTGGAATGGATGTGCTGTGGGCCGGAACCCCAATGGTTACCCTACCCAGCGATACACTAGCCTCCAGAGTAGCCTCATCTCAGTTGACGTGTTTGGGTGTTCCCGAACTCATAGCTAAGTCTTTCGAAGACTATGAGAATATCGCCGTCAGATTAGGCACTGACAGACAATAGTGAGTGAATAGTAGACATGAAAGTGAGTTACCATTCATGACAACTGTCTTATTGTTTGCAGTCTGAAAGCGATTCGAGCGAAGGTATGGTGCAATCGCGTCGAATCTCCACTCTTTAACGTCAGGACCTATACCTCAAACTTAGAGAAACTCTTCTACAAGATGTGGGAACAATACTCCGAGAACGACACACTCGACCACGTGACCAATTGGTGGTAAATTTGGCACTTATTTATCGATTTAATTTATCGCTGATTTGTTTGTCTTTTCAATTCAATATACTTTTTAATTAATGAATATTTAAATGATTTCACGAGATTTAATACATGTTTTATATAAAGTTATTTCAAATAAGAGTTGAGTTACAAACTAACGTAAGTAATGTATGTCATTGACATTATGAGTAATGTTATTGAAAGTTTATATTGGTAACTTAGTAACGCACCAATGATCACTGAACTGATCCCACAATAACCATGAAGTCGTGTAAAATACTGTAATATTAATCATTTGTTGACAAATGATAGCCAATGAGTGGAGAGTGGAGTACACGTGACACTAGACTCCTCCCATTTGTTGACCGAAAATGTGTTCACTTGTGTGGATGTGATCTGAAGAGTGAAGATATGTATAAACAAGTGATAGGACGACAACATCACCGGCTTTTGCACAACCATACCATCAAACACTGCAACCAATTGAGACATTTGTCGGACACGAAGGATGAGTCGACAGAAGGGATCGCCTCGTGGTTCACATCGACAGAAGTGGGCGAACAGGAGGAGCGAGTGGCCAAACGTCCGGTCAATTATCTTCCCGACCATTTGCCTCAACTCAGGAAACGGATCCGTCAGAATCTAAATTATGTACAAAATATATTTCAATAAAGTTTATTCTCAACTCAATGTTTGATTGCATTCATTACATACAGTAACTGTAATACTCATTACAATAACTTTCAAATATAACCATTGAATCATTGCTACCAATGATCACTGAACTGATCCCACAATAACCATGAAGTCGTGTAAAATACTGTAATATTAATAATTTGTTGACAAATGATAGCCAATGAGTGGAGAGTGGAGTACACGTGACACTAAACTCCTCCCATTTGTTGACCGAAAATGTGTTCATCACTTGTGTGGATGTGATCTGAAGAGTGAAGAGATGTATAAACAAGTGATAGGACGACAACATCACCGGCTTCTGCACAACCATACCATCAAACACTGCAACCAATTGAGACATTTGTCGGACACGAAGGATGAATCGACAGAAGGGATCGCCTCGTGGTTCACATCGACAGAAGTGGGCGAACAGGAGGAGCGAGTGGCCAAACGTCCGGTCAATTATCTTCCCGACCATTTGCCTCAACTCAGGAAACGGATCCGTCAGAAGCCGTGGTGGAGGTATCGGTACTTCGTGAACATCAACCCATTGGAGAGGGAAGACACTCAATGGACACCAACGCCTCAATACCCGGCTCTGAGGGACAGCTCCAGAGAGGGTGCGTCCAAACAGATCCGTATGGAGTGGTACGACGCCATCCGGAGACTGCCATCGGCTCAGCAAAAGGAGTTTGAGATCTGCAAACATTACTCACTCTTGAGTTACACCATTGAACCGGTGATGCGTCAGTACAACGCTCTACCCTTACATGAGTTCATCACCAGAACTCATCTGATCTCTGGTCACATGCCCTCCGCTTACGACCAAATGGATGTCAACCACATTCTCGACCAACGCTTAAAGCAGTCAATACTTGACTCAATTTGTTTGCATTTGTTTGAAACCAACCAAAGAAGTCCTTCCATTGAGTTCAAGACTTCAGTCATTCCTTCGTTGGGTTTCATGAACTCTGCTCTTCGTGTGGAGTGCGCTAAACAGGAGGACGTCATGGAAGACATCATAGGAATTGTTCGCAAAGCTCTTCACTCAGAACACCAACACTTATCAAGTCTTCAGGTATTGTAATGTCATTAATGTTTTGATTATTATTTAAGAAACAATTTCATGAACTTTTTGAATACCAATATTAACACTGGATGTGATGCGTGACCGCAGATGGATATGAGTCCATACGTGTGCAGCAGTTGGTTCTTGCCTCTGAAGGGGTAGGGAAAGTGGTTTTTCTTCACCAAAGGTTTGCTCTGTTGACTGGTTGTCAAGTGAATATTTCCCTGGGTAAGAAACGTAAACTCTTGACTATTCGGCAATGGTGGCCAGTCACCTGAATATAAAATTATAATTTGAAAAAATGTTAACAGTCTGTCCTTTTAGGCCATTCCTCTCGATGATGACATTTGTCTGAAGTCACAAATTGGCGAATATAAGTATCGGTTACTGAATTTGGGGTATAATATTAGGAGACATTCATTGTCCACTTTGCCCGGATTCTGGAGCGACTGTTCCAATGGATTTGATTTCCCGAATCTGATCTGTCATTCGCGACATAACTTGAAAGTAAGAGAATTAAGAAACGGCAGATCGTATGACGACGACCAGCAAGTGTTGGATGGAATGGCCATCTCATCATCGTTTGCATGGCTTCACAGTTTGGCATCAAATCTTGGATTTTCTATTTTCCATGAACTCACGTACCCTTTGGTCACTCACGCGATCATAACGGACGGCCAGTTCTGGTCATTCTATGTCTATCAACTCAATACACACTGTTTTCATAGCGATGTCGACAATAATTTACTGCGAAATGTGTGCTGGAGTTCAGGCGAACTCAAGCTCTTCGACAGCTATGAAAACGGACGCCTTATTGGTGTTAACGATGAGGTCATCAAACTGTTGATCAAAGTATGAACCAATTGAATGAATTGATTACAAATGTCTCACACTTTGTATGAATTTTACAGTTTATGGCTCGAGAGCCACAACTCAGTGATGGTTGTGTTCTTCGGCCGTATTTGAGTGAAGACCTCAGGAGTAAAGAAGACAAACAAGAGTTGAGTTATTCTCTGAGGAGACGATACCACAATTGGACGGATCCCTACGTGAAGACCCGACAAAAAGTGCATTTATGGGAAAAGATATACAAATACCATAAGGAGGCGTCGCCCTTACCTCACATCAGGACGCGACCCAAAATCACAGTTAAATTCCCGCCATTTTATAAATCATAACTTAAACTTCAATTTAAATGTTTTAAAACTTCAATTTATGTAAAATTCAATTATTTATAGAATTATGGATTAGAATTAAATATTAATGATTAATACATAATTGTGTGAACAAAAAATGTACAATAATTAACTTAACTAGCTAACTAACTAATTGAGGACATGTACTGTTAATGTCCACTAATAGTAATCAAATCAATCAAAGTCTCCAAAGCGCTGCGAGTCTGTTGCCTATCAAACGATGAACAGCACAATACCTGCCATTTATGTCCGTTCATTATGTTCTGGAAATATAGATCCAGTTCCTGCTCCGTCTTAGCACCCGATACATCGCTATGAGTGCCCAAAACCAGACACGGCTTACCCCTTAACCGGATGTTTGATAGAACTGTTCTGAGGGTCTCTCTGGCGAGTCTGAGCTCATCCTCAGTGGCCGACGCGTTCACCACAAAAAGGATGGCATTCTTATCAGCGAAATAATAGTCCCAAAAGTTCTGTACTCTTCCGGAACCGCCCAACTCTTTAATGCTGACAATCGTCCCTTTGATGGGAAAGGTCTTAATGTTGAAGCCATTGGTGGGCTCGATGTTAGCCGTGGTCTCCCCGACCAGATGTGCCAATAAAGTGCTTTTTCCCGAACCACTCAAACCCAGACATAAGATATTGTACTGGTCTTTGACAACAAGCATCAGTGGTTTGTGACATAACATGAATTGCCAGCACTTGTGGTCCAATCGACATAATGTTGAATGAAATGAATTATAAATTTGGTTATTATGTGCACATAATAAATGTATTTATGAATAAATAAGTGTATACTGTACAGTACAGTATATAACAAATATAACACAATATAACAGAATATACAGAATATAATGGTATAATAATAATAATAAGATAATGTATTCATTACTCGTCTGATTCCCATCCGACACAATGAAAGACTGCAATCAATGGTTTCTCTGAGTCCCGGCATTCTTCCCAATTGTCGACTCAACCCAAGTATTCAAATATCTTCTAACAATCGCTCCTTTCTATCATTTATTTATAATTTCCATTCATCTAAACATATTTTCTAATTGTTTATAATATTTCTTATAAATTATTATACAATTAATCTAATAGTCATTTTCCGTTAAACGGAATATCATTTGCAATTCTATTGCATTCAATATTTGCTATAAAAATCATTTAATAATTAAATTAAATACTAAATCACTTCAAAAGAGTTGACTTTTGATGGCATAATACATGGATTGTATGTCTGGTTATATGAGATGATTGAATGTCTGGATGTGTTGTGTGTGAGTCTGCGTCCACTCATTCCATCACATCTTAACTCATCCTTTCCTCTAAAGACATTTCATCTCAACTCATGTTTTAATTGACAATCAAATCTCAATTTTATAATATTATAGAAAATACTCTATTATAAAAATATTTTAAATATTATATTAAAAAGCATAAAATAAGCCGTCGATGAGTACTTGTATAGAATATTATATAGCATTGCACCTGTTTTATGATGAGTTGAATTAACATTCATTCAATGCTAGCACCAAATGATTGACATTAAAATGAGTAAATACAATATGTGAATGCAATTATGTAGGTGGAAAGATCACTAAATATACATTTAAATTTTTATTACTATAATGTTTGCACCGGTATACTTTATTTCAACGAATTACTCGTAAGTTTATTTTTATTTTCTCACAATTAAAGGCAAAACAAGTTTAAGATTTAGATTTAGTTGAATNAAACTATTTAAGATATTCAGTAAATCACACTGGCGAGACTATTTAATCATTGGAAACACATAATTATTACAAGGATATGCACAATTTATATATAACAAAAAAGTTACATGGAAAATATTTTAGGGTTTTACTATTAAATTTTAACTTTAATTAATTGTGTCATAATTATAATGAGTCATTATTAATGACAAATTTACAGTACATTAGCTGTAGACCTAGTTTAACACTATTCTTAGAACTGATAAAATCATCCTTTAGTATACCTTTAGTATACATTTCCCATTAGATTATGAGTTTTACGGAACGAGAGTAACGTTATGATAGATATTTTTATACTTAATTAATAATTTGACTGAAATGTTAATTATTCATACAATATTAATAGATTTTAAAATGAAAAAATATTTATTTTTTTATTACTAATATTTTATCCTGATAAGTCTTAACGTTTTTCTGGTTCTTTATAGAACCCATATAAATATTATACAATTTGTAGTGACAGACATTTGGACAGACATAAGCAAAACTATAGGTTGAATGAGTGACAAACAGTGTTGTGTTTAGTATTGATATAAATAAATGTTTTTTAATTGATTGTCCAAAAAAATCAATGTTTAGTAATATATGAATAGAAATGGATTTACTGTTTGGATAATAATGACAACAATTAATGCTTTTTATGACTTCAATATAACATTGCTTTCAATGAATTCATGCATTCATTCATAATTGCTATGATTTACTGGTTTTAGAGGCAAATGTCATCCCATTTATAGTTTGCATTGAATTGTATTTTAAATATTGATTTGTTTTTAATATTTATTTCAATTGATTTCATAATTTATTTTTTACGTTCAAATCAATTATTATTTTAATGGTCTCTTCGTTCATATATTGTGACAATTGATGTGACAATCAGTTTGTATTGAAAGGCGAAACATATTTTACATGAATTTTATGTCCAATTAAATGACAATAAGAAGTGATAATAAGAAGTGATTAATGGCTGAAAGCGATTCCGAAGACACGAATGACAGACCGATCGCTGCTTTCGGTCCGAGAGTTGTCTCCATATATAAGTCAGAGACCGGCTTTGGATTCAATGTCAGGGGACAGGTGTCAGAGGGCGGACCCCTTCGCAGCATCAATGGCGAGCTCTACGCACCTCTTCAGCAGTAAGTGTCCCCTCTATGACCACTTGACAGCTGATGGTAATGTCATGTCTTGTGTAGTGTGTCCGCAGTCCTCGAGTCCGGCGCCGCAC